GGGGATTTGTTGGGTTTTCCCTATGTAATAATATTGATAACAGTAAGGTCTAGACCTTACTTTGTAAAGTGTCCTGAGATGACTTTTGTTGTGATTTGGCGCTATACAAATAAAATTTGATTTGATTTGATTTGATTTGATATTCGGCTTATCAGACTTCCCTTTTGGACAATGCGTTTTGGATCCCTTGGCTGTGAGAGTTTTGCTTGGACTGTTTAAACGACCTGTGAGTGTTATGTGCTGCCTCAGTGCTCGGCTTTGTGTTATCGTTTTGTCTGTAAGCGCTCTTATTAACGAGACAGTGTTTTTCCGTATCCTCGTCTGGCTATTGAATTGAGTTCACCTTTGATATCATCGGCTGCTTTACGCGCTGATCCTGACAAAAATGCCTTAAAAGGTGCATTAAATAAGATTTTACACATTGTGCCTTTGTTTTATAATGCATATTTGTTTAATTTGTATATACTGTATGTGTTGGCGTTTGCCTCCGAAAATTTTGCTATTTCGTATCATTTATTCAGGCCACTCTTGGTGTGAAAAGGCCTTTTTAATTTTAAATAGTTTAACACGGTCATTTGAAAGGTAACTATATTTGTCAGGTATTTCTCTCTGAAATGTAGTGAATTAGAATTATAAAATACCAGAAAATGTAAATACTTAAAAGTTCAAGTACCTTAATTTGCTCAAATACTTAAGGACCTAGATATAGCCTGTGGGAGGATTTGTAGGAATACCATATGCTAAAGAGTTAAATAGACTTAAGGTCAGCGTGGGTGACCGCCATTCCCATGATGGTTTATCCTTGACTGCACTTCCTCCTTCCATATTAACATGTGCTTATAAAGCTGGATTGTCTTTTGTAGCTGGACTCAGGGAAAAATGTTTTCACGGCTTTATAGAATGGGTTTAGACTTGAAATACTCTCGGTGGAGATTACGTGTATATATATATTTGAAAAACAACTATAATACTTTCTAACCTCTTCCTGAGGGATCAAGGCTGTAATACAAGCAAATCTACCAAAGCAGAGTGAACTAGAATAGATCAGAGTAGCAGTAAATTATGTATTAAGATGAGCACACTTGTACACACATGCACAAACCCAGTTCCATTGCTCTGCTGCCATAAGCACATGCATCACGGTCCGTCATGGAGGGACTATATCGCTCGAAGTGACAGGAGAAGAGCCTTTCAGCTCTGACAAAATGGCAACATAAAACCTCGTGGCAACACATCATCTCGAGTGCACAACAAGCTCTGAAGTCTTTATTCTGCGGTTTTAATCCGAAATGACAGAAAGCCTTCACTTAATTGTTCCGGGGCTGATTGTTGCGGCATGTGTGATCGTGCGGTCCCCCAGTATTCTTTCTAAACTGTGTGTGTGGACAGAAAATCAGCCAGGCATTATCCATGATAAATGAGAACTTCATGTGACAGATCTGTGGCTGTTGAATGCAATGACTCTCAACTCTTCCGACAAATTCATGGCTATATAATGAATTATGACTCATGGTCCATTTGGTTCAAATGTGATAGTTTCCACTAAAATATATAGATCCTGCATCTGGTCATACTATGTGACAATAGTGCAAACACAACTTTCAAAGATAAAAAAAAATGCATTCATTAACCAGAGCTGACATAAATTTGTCCTCCTCCTCCTCTCAGATGACTGCTGACCTCCCTATGGAAAAACCAGGCTGGAACAGTGTTTCACTGGCGGGATCAATGCAGTATCACATTACTTATGAGCAGTTTTCAAGCTTGCTTGGTGCAATATCATGTTATGGCAGATACTGTCTGGTGCTGCAAATTAATAAATAAAAAATGAACACTTAATAGCTGGAAATTTACTGAATAGCACAGACGGCACAAACTTATGTCTGTAATCAATTTTGCTCACAGCAAGTGCCAATGTTAATGAGTGCTGATTTTCCAGTGGCCATTATACTGTGTTGACTAGAGTGTTGCTGATTCACTCATAGTGCTGATATGGCTCTCAGGCAACTCTCAAACTATTTAAAACCATTAAATTAAGCCTAATGGCTGCTACAGAGGGCGGTTAATGGACCGGAAAGATTCTTGAAGACACTCCTAGTCCTTTTCGACCCCCTTTGACGCTCTTGGTAACATATGGAGCGTTGCTCTCTAAAATAAGTGCAAGGCAAATTGGCTCCAACACAAGGTGGCACACCTCAGAAGACCCTACCCTTCTCAAGTGATTTACCCCCTTAAGCTTAGCTCTGGTGCTTCGGTAATTACCGAAAATTGAAACAGACCATCAGCTGCTGCCTGATTGCGCTGCCGGTGTTGACATGCCATTTGTTGTGTATATTAATATGACACCTTTAACAGCTTAGCACCCCAAATTACATGCCAGTGAGAACACATGGTTTCGCAAACAGAAATGTACGTAGTACGTAGTTAAGCTGTCGAAGCTTGCAATCTAGTGACATGCCTCCTGCTTCACGGTCAAAAACATGTTTAGGAGCACTAATGGTGATTATGTTCACAATCAACTAACCAAGTAAACAGTCATTCTACAACTTATTGGAAAATTGTAAAAAAAAAAAATGCCCGAGATTGTGTGTTTTGTCAACCCAGCACTCGAAAACCTATACGTATAATGATGTAAAACTGAAACAAGCAGCAGATGTTTGACATGAATTTGTTTTTTTACAGTCCATCAGCTAACTAATCAGTTGATCAATTATCTATTGGTGCAACTTTATTAACACATATCACCGGTCCTGTGTTTCATATTATCTTGTTTGTTAATTTTCTTTGATTTAATTAGCATATTCAATGACTTACTCATTAGTTTCCTTGGGTAATCAATTATTCATTCACTTTATTATTCATGGCTTACTCACTCAGAATCAGACTGTCACTCACTTGTTCAAGCAGTCATTTATTTGCTTATTTACTGATCTGCATGTTCATTATCTGACCATTGATCCGAAAATAGTGAGAGAATGAATTAATGAACTGAATGAACAACTATGAGCAAATGAGTCTGAGCAAATAAGAAATTTACTCACTCAGTGCTCCTTTATTTGCTTTTATTCATTAACTTAGTAACTCAAGTAACTTTGAATGACTGAATTATATGAGTGAGTGGGCTTTTTTAATTTCACTCACTGGTGTATTTACTCATCAATTTTCTTAGCCAATTTTCTTAGCTAACTTTCTTTAATTTTCTGGTTTATTGAAGGAACGAGTGAGTGATTTACTAATTTCTTCACTCGCTCATTTATTTATTCATTCAATGAAGTCATGTTTCATTTAGCGGCTTAGTGAGTGAATGAGTGAGCAATAGACAAAATGGGTTTATGAATGAATGAGTGAAATGAAAAATATGTGTGATGTGGGTCATATATTCATTTAAACTCATTTGCGCTTTCAAGCGAGTGAATGAGGAAATGATACTAAGTGAACCAGTGTATCAGTGAGTAGAAAATAGAGTTTATAAATGAGTGAGCAAGTGACTAAATGAAAGAATGAGTAGATGAATGTTGAAAAATGAGTCTCAGTAACGCAGTGATGTGAGTGAACATATGAAGTAAATGAATGAGTTTGCGTTAGCGGATCAGTTCCTGTTCCAAGTGAACCTCTGAATGACAGCCTAAAGGACACTACCTTTCATTCATTCGTTGTTAAATAACTAGGCCCACACCTGTCCTGCAGGTCACGCCTCACCTTTTGCTCCTCTGGGAGCTCTTCTTGTCTCTCTTGTTCATCACTACGGGAACACAGCTCGTGAGCTCGGTCCAGTCCGCGTGCAACCCGCAACTCCACCCCGTGGAGAACCGAGAGAAGAGCCATGACTCGGCTTTACCGGGCCGGTGGCAGGTGCATTTCCTCTGGCCGGACATGCAGTCACAGGGCTGCTCCAGCTGGATATTCTTGACCAGGTGCCGCCCAAACGTCGTCCCGCCTGTCTTCTGAATGTGGAGGAAGACCATCACATCGTCTCCTCGGATGTTGAAGTCGACGTGCCTATCGAGGTCCGGCTTCGTTAAGTTAAATTTGGATCTGATTCTGGAGGGAAGGTCCTCATCCGCCTCCGGCTCCGTGTAGACGAACTCAAAGCTGGATGAATACCGCTGGAAAAGCCCTTTGTCGTCACTTCTGAAGTAGCAGGTGTTGCTGTCCGCCGGGCACACGTACTGGTAGCCGATCATTAAGAAGAGCACCGCCGCAACGGGGATGAAGATGAGTCTATTGAACTTCTCCATGGTGCAGGGTGGAAATCACGCCGTCGGCACAAACGGTAACGTGATGCCCGAGTCGTTTTCCTTTCCCCCTCGTCTCATTCTGCCTATCTCCTCCAGGCAGCCTACGCCGTGCGCCTGTCAGTTAAAAGCTGGAGTCCCACCAGGTAAAAGCATGTCCTCCAGGCAGCTCCTTGTCCTGCAGGAGAACAGCACCACTTTTTAGACTTGAAATTGTCACTAAACATTCATCTATTTCCTACAAGATTAATTCTAAATTTCTTTTAAAGTATGTCAACCAGGGGGCACAACTCGAGTACAATAACATCTTTCCAGAAGTCAGCGCCACGCTGCCACAAGGTACATCCCCGCGTAAGGAGCGCTCGGGCTCAGCTGTCCAGCCAGAGCCAACTGCTGATCGCTATCTGAGCCAGGAGCACCAGCGACAAGCTGGACAAAACTAACACAATCACTTCCGGGAAGGACTTTCAAATTAAAACAGTTTCCGCCCAACATTTTGCAACATGCTGCCTTAAATAGGTTAAAACCATTAGGGAAA